CAGCCCTCAATGAAAAGCTGAGTGGAGTCAACATGGACATGATTGCTGAGAAGGAACCACTTATGACAAAACATGAGGACTTTTTTAAAGAAAAGTTGCAAACTGAAGGTCTGCTGCGTGGATACAAAGTAAGATTTCTTATTAATTATTGACTGAAAATATGACATGGAAAAATTGCTATAATACAGAAAGTATTTTTAAATATAAATTTAAGTATAAAAGACCTTTATTATAATAACATAATTATATATGCGGTCTAAATGACCAATTAACACTTCGACACATAAGTGACCTAATGATCAACCATGGGTTTCTGAGACAAAAATAAATATTTATAACAACAACACCAAACCACATTTTTGACAAAATAATAACGATATTTTTTAAACGGAGATTTTGGTCTCAGAAACACAGTAAGTGATTTTTTTTTTGTGTTTGAAAATTTGCAATGTTTGAAATTATTTAATATTGTAGGAAAGATTGAAACAATGTAAAATGGAACTGAAGAAAGCCGTGAACGAGGGTATAGAGAAACAGTACAGGGAAAAATTTTATGATTTGCATGTTATTAAAGCTCTGGAGAAAGATATTAAAGATTATTCCGTTGCCTTAGAAAAGTGCCTTATGGAGTTTCATAAAGAGAAAATGGAAAATATTAATTTAATTATAAGGTATATTTATAAAATATTCTACTTCAGAACTTTGAATCATTTTATATACAGGCGTAATAACATTTAATTAACTTTTTTAACAAGGGAAATGTGGAGAAAAATATACAGGGGGAATGATATTGACTATATTGAAATTAAAACAGAAGGCAGTGCAACTGCTGACTCGGATCGCAGGAAATATGATTACAGGTACGGAACATTTTTGACAGTAAGATGTGCATTAATTCAAAACCTACTATAAATACATAGAATTACTTGTTTACGTTTTTAAATTATTTTGCTTATTGTATTAATTTATAAAGTATGTAACAGAGTGGTGCAATGTAAGAATGGCGTGGAGATAGACATGCGTGGTCGTTGCAGCGCCGGACAGAAAGTGTTGGCCTGTCTCATCATACGTTTGGCGTTGGCTGAGACATTTAGCACAAGGTACCTTTTGACTTATAAATTAAATAGTCAAACCTGGATAAGCAAGAGACGTCTATAAGAAAGAAATATCACGGTCCCCTGGACACTCCCTCATCCAGGTTCTACTGTATATTGTTAGTTATGTTATCTTTAATGCCTCTCATATGTTTTGTTAATAGGTTAGGTAAATTATATCTCAATTTTCGCCTTTCTATAATTTTATAAATTTATTCAGTTAGATTATACATTTACTTTGCTTTTATTTCAGGTTCGGTATCTTAGCATTAGATGAGCCAACGACAAATTTGGATCAAGAGAATGTTAAAAGTCTCTGCGAGGCTCTCGGTGAAATAGTTTTGGAAAGAATGGCGCAAAAGAATTTCATGTTCATCATCATCACTCATGATAGAGAATTCATCGAGTCCCTGGGCAGTATTGATAAGGTCACGCATTTTTATGAAGTTTCTAGAAACGAAGAAGGAAAGTCTAGAATCAAAAAGATAAGATTTACTTAATTCATATTTTTATTACTCAAAATCCTACAGTCATTCCTATCTCGAATGTCAAATAGCTGTTAAGAAGGCCGTGCCTTACAAAATTTGTTAAAGCTGCTTTACATTTTTATATATTAAATATAACCTTTTATATGTTTTATATTTTCTTTATTTAAGCCCCGTTCTTATTTTTTAAGGGATTTATGAATTAAAAGTAAAATCTATATACTCAGTCAGGTAAATTCCTGTATTTAAATATAATATATTTTATGACTAAATTAAAAGCAATTATAACATTAACACACATATTTACATATAAAAGCACTTTATAGTCTAGCCTTTTTATACATATTTAATTTTTTTAAATTATAGTTTGCCTTAAAGCCGTCTAAAAAATTAACTCGAGAATAATCCTGTAATACTGTTCAATGGCTTGCAAATTTCCATTTGATCAATTTGCAGCAATTTGCTCTCTTGCAATACAGTTAAAGTCACTCCTAATAGTTCACAAATTTGCGTCGGGGGAAATGACTGTGATAGACACTTAGTTATATAAGGAACCAAGTCTTCAGTAAAGCAAATACAAAACGAAACAAAATTCTGTCTTTCAACTTCTGTAAATGCTTGTTGTTCCCTGTTATAAAATGTTAGTAATATTTGTACCGACTTTCCCAACGATTTTCTATATTCATTATACACGTCTTTCACAATATTCAAAGGTGCTGTTACTCGGAAAGAATTTAAAGTCGATAGCAATCCATTACAATACTCCGCTAATGGATAGTAATCTAATAAATTTTCAGGTGGTCCTGATATCATATTCTCGTTTACCGGTCTTGGTAAATTCTTTATTGTTGGTACTTTATAAGTTCTCATTTGATTCTCGAATTGATTGTCCACTTTATCAAGGTTATAGTGAAATTGAGCCATTATATTGTTTCGAAACAGAGGTGTTAATACACAGCGTAAATCTGCACCGACTCTGCCAAATGAGAGACAGAGATACATACATTGATTCAAAAGGGACTCAAAACTCGACTCATCTTCCTTCTTTAAATCCTGATTAAGCATTTGGGTTAATTTTTCAACCTAAAACAAAGTTATTTTATTTCCACAAAAATAAAGTTTCATTTTGAGATACATCTTAATAATATTATAAATGCAAAACTTTTCATAGATGTTTGTTTAAAGGATTTCCAGAATGGCTCAATAGATCATAATGAAATTTGGTATATATATATATATAGAATATATATAGAACTTAGTCTGCAAGAACACATAAGCTGCTTAGTAAGTTTTTTTTTAATTCCATTCCAGTATTTTAATATTATACAATAATCAATCAGTCATTATTTAGATAATTTTAGTTACAATCAACATTATGGCACCACTTTATACCTTTTGTTTCAGCCAACATGATAAAGCGCTTGTTCCACTAAGTTCGTAATCACGCACTTTAGATTCTTGAGCGTCTGATAGGAATATTGACTTATGTTGAGTTAAAACATTAAATAAATGTATTCGGTGTAACTCGACAATTTTTCTTAACAATCTCTCAGATGCTGTAACAGTAAATAATAACAATTTAAAAATCATTAAAACAGACACTTTTTGATAAATATCTGGAACCATAATCATAATGAATATTCCATGAGATACTAATAATTACATTCACTGCTCTTGGCATCTTCTAAGGCTTTTTCAAACCAAGCATTTCTTGCTTTTAAAAAGTGCAAATGTAAGCCATCAGTCATTATTGTATTGCTCGGTATTTTACTTCCCACAGATATTTTGCTTTGGTCTTCTTCTGTAGATTTAAAGACTGTGTTAGCTCTCCTCAAATAACCTAGAATCTGAAGAAATACTATTTTTCATAGACAGTCTTCTAAAACTTCATTATCCATTGCATCATTATGTAACACAATTATAAAATTATATGTATTACTTACTTGCAAACATTGCGGTAAAGGTAAATCATAATGTAACTGATTGTACAAGTGATATAAAGTTTCATACCACAATGTCATTATTTCTGATGATGTATTCTGAAAATTAGCAATCCTACATATTTATTTTACATTCCAATAACTATTTGAGATTCATAGAGTATAAGACAACATACCTGAACAATTGGTATCTCAGAGTACCTTTTTGATAGATTACGAACAAAAGTGAAAATATCCAATGCACTCTCATAATCTTCTGCATTAAGTGCTTCACGCATTAACGAGGGCAGTTCTAGTAAATCTAATAATTTATCACTTTGATGACGAATGCTGCTATAGCGCCTAGAAATAACAATATTTCATTATGTAAATAAATAAAATAAAAGCCTACTAATACTGGTAATATATTCAACTTACTTTTTATCTTCAACAATATTTCCAACATTCATAGAGAATTTCTCTAATTCCTGTACAAATTGAGGCATAGTGTTAAGAAAAACTTCCAAAGAATCTTTAGATTTCCCTAAATCTTTCATAATGGTGCGAGAAATCTCTGCAGTCTCCACAAAGGTTTTGCAATTTGTAAATGCTAACTCTTGAGTCTGCTCTGTTAAATGTTTCATTTCATCAGATAATCTCTCCGGCTCATTTCTAATGTGTTCCCAATTTTGTGATCCAAGCTTTTTAATATAGTCATTAATGTCATTGAAGTATTCTGGGGTTTCTGCAGAAATTATAAAAAAAAATAAACATTTGTATTTAGGAAATCAGTTACACATTGCCTATCTTAAATATACAGACAGACACAAGTTGTTCTTTCCTTTATTTCAAGCTTGATTACTGCGACGTCTTAGCAATAGGTGGACCCGACCATTGTTAGGGCCCACAAAAACATTTAAACATATGTGTTATTGCAAGCTTCACAACTGTTGATTTAACTAAAGTAGATTGCAAAGTATTTGTTATACCAAACTGCTTTGGCGGAAGTTTATTAATATAAACATCGTACCATTCGTTGAATTTGGGAATAATAGTTGACATAATTCTCTCAATTCTTGAGCCATTTTAGTACCCGTATCGTATCGAAATTTATTTGTAATAAAATATCTTATTCGCGATGAACTTTTATTTTTTATATTTGCATATACGTACGTACGTATTTTACGATATAACGTAAACGATACGTATTTTGTAGCCCATAACATTGACAGATTTCAGTTTTTGACATTGTCACAAAGTCTTGTTTATGATAGTCTCTCAAGAGTATAAAAAATTTGTTTATAGATTTCGTGAATGAAATGATTTTTCCATGTAATGTAATGTAGCTACGACAATACAAAAGACTATTTAAAAGCCTAAACCAAACTTACCCAGTTTAGATTCATACCATAAGCTTTTTCTATGCGTTTCCCCACCTTAAAGTAAATAGAAGAATCTTATAGAATAGTTAACTCCAACCCGTTCCGTTGCATAATCTATATTTTACTCTTTCATAATCTGTATTGTGTAAATGAAAATTTTTATGGAATATTAGTTCAAGATTACCATTTGCTTAATAACCAAATATTTCAAATATAGCTGAAAATATCTTGTGAAACCAATGGGAAACATCACATAGGCAAATTATTTTAGGCGCGGTATGTAATTTGTGATTTCCATCAATACTATGGTTATGCCCTATGTTTTCATCCATGTTGAACTATTGATAACTTCTGTGATTGCGTCATGAAGGTGTATAATTATAAAATGTATTTAAAATTTTATTCAGTTTTTTGTCATTAGATGGCTTCCTAATTATTGTGTAGGATTATTAAAGATTTGGGTTTCTATTTTAACTTTTCGTTTTGACACTTCTAACCTATGAAAGTAAGACTCTTGACACCATTTTTGTAAAACTTTTCTATGATTAACACGATTACAATGAGTAATATGGATTATTTGAACCATGCTAGAAAACTTTTACCCTACAAAAACTTGCCATTTCATAGCTGAATTGTATTTAGATTGATAAGGTTATGTTGATGTTTTGATTTGCTTGATGTTAGATGTTAAAATGCTTTGACATATTGAAATGTAGTATTTTAATGTAAACCGTTGTTATTTCACATTTCTATAAATAAGTTTCACGTTTGTTTTTTCTCATGTGTGATATTGTACATTTTGTATTTTACGAATTTCAGTAGTAATTATAAAGAATATGAAAATAGCTCAAACCTTGGTATTTCAAATATGTTTAGGTCCTTATTGGCAAATTTAGCAGACAAAATTAATTTAGGAAATTTAGAATTGACAGCCTCAGCTATAACAAAGCAATGAAGCATATTACTCCTAATTACATTTTATTCAAGGTATGTGTGGTACCTTCCTTGTTTAAGTGTGGTACATTAATGACAAATTTCATTACAGTTGCTGCCTAAGACAGCCGCAATGGAGGCATCAGTTGATTTCAACCTCCATTGGGAGGAGGTTGTGATAAAGGTAATAAACATCGAGATTGTCAAATTGTTACATAAAACTTGTAGAGCTATGTTATGTTGCCATAAATTTTTTGTGCAAAATAGAAAATGATTTTACTTTCTAGCTTTTGTTTTGAGCACTTTGATATTTACCATCATACTACTTCCAAGTATGTGATTACAAATGAATAAATGTTGTTAACATTTTTAGGCCAGTTTTTATCCATAAATCTAAAATGTCACTATAAAAAGGTGGTCATTCTACTAGTACATATTATCATTTCAAAGTATGTATGTAGTTATTGCAATTTTGCAATAACTTATGAGATATATTCTTTATTTTAATAGTTTTGGTCATACTTTTGAAAGGTAAAAGAACCATGAATGTATACCAGTTGATACAGCTCACTGGAAATGTCTAGTAGTTTTTTTTCATGGGATTATGTATTAATTTTAATGTTGTCTAATGCCAATAACTTTCAGAACTCTCCCAAACATGAAAATGAGACAATGTGCAACCTTGATAGTGTACAAAGCTATTCAACAATGGTGTGTATTTTACATTTGATCACACAATAAGGTTGTATGGGTTGTGGGGTTCTTTAGTAGTAACAAAGCTTTTACTAACTTGAATGATTGATTTGTCATGCTAATTATATCTTTGTAACAACAATAATCAAATTATTATTATTTTTGCTTGCTTATTAGCTTTTTTTAATTACTATCTTATCTTACTAATTTTATAAACGCGAATGTTTAGATGGAAAGTTGGATGAATGTTTGAAGGTATCTCCAGAACAGCTAAACAGATCTCGATGAAATTTGGCATACTATTGGCTTTTTTTAATTCCCGCGCTGACTATGTTGCAGGCGACCACTAGTTAATCTATAATTACAAAACTACAATAATTAGAATAGCAAACTGGATGTTGAAGGAGTGATACATGTATTTCTGCAGTGAAAACTCATAAAAAGCTCTTTAATTACAACAAACCAATGCTGCCAATACAAACCAAACACTGCTAGCTATAATTTGATTCACACCATTTTTGCTTAATCTGTGTGTAAATTTCTCAAACATGAATACCTTATTTTTATTTGCAGACATCTGAAGAGATAATAGCAGATACAGATCAAATGGCTGCAGAAAATCTGATGTTTCTATCGCAGGATGTAGTTGGTTATACAGAACCGGTATTGCCAGATGAATTGAACGTTGAATGTGTCACTGAAGAAGTTATAACTGATGATTGGGTACTAGCTGGAGGACAGGAAAGGTAAAAATGTCTAAATCATCTCTGATGTGACGTGATGTGGTATTCCCCATTGTTGGGATGTTTTGTAAATTTTCCTGTTATAGTTTTTTGTTATGCAGTCCCTTATAATTTTTAATTGGCCACTAAAACAAATGCCTTTTATTGTTATTCTTTATGTGTAAATTTAATTTTATATTATCACAATAAATACAATGTAATAATATTTTGTATTATATTTTCAGAGTGGAAGTACCTATGGAGCAATTAGTACATAATGTGTCTGATGTGAAAGTTGAAAATGATATTGATGTCCCATTACCAACTGATCAGGTAAGCACAATTGTTTAAACTAAATAAACGAGGTTAATTTTTGTAAATTATATTTGATGTAATAAACATAATAGTACTTTCTGTAATTGATAAATTTGTGTCTTTTTTAACACATAACTAGGTAGCTGTATATTAACAAATTAGATTTATGATATGGTAAAAAATAAATACAGTAGAATCAGAACATCATAAATGCATACTGATATTCAAATATTATTATGTGTAAACTTAAATTAATAACAAATTAGTCATATTTAACATTCATATTTAAGGGTAAGACATACTCTTTTATTACCATGTCGTCATCCTTAATATCAATCACGGCCCGAGAGTTAAAGCCAGTGTTTAAACAATGACAAACAGTATATTTAACCGACTTCAAAAAGGAAAGGAAAGGTTTTTTTAAAGTAATACAGTAACAATGATTACAAGTGGATAACAGCGGTTCCTACAACTGTAGCTTGTATATATTGTATAGGACCAGTACACAGCGATGAGGCCGTGGCCGTGCGACTTCTGCTCGAGACGGTTCCGCAAGAAGGCGGCCCTCATGAACCACATGGTGGCGCACCAGAATGACAGGCCGCATGCGTGCAACTTGTGCGGCGTGCGGTACGTGCGCAAGTGTGATCTCATGAACCACCTGAAGGTGCACGCCTTTGTACCCGACAACCATGATACCATGGATTATGGTGAGTTTACATATTTTTTTATTGAACAAAACTCAGTTTGGTTTAGTTATTAAGTCTACTTATTAAAGCCACTTACCGACTTGGTAGTTTCAAACTGTTTTATAGTTTTTGTAACTCGCAATTTTTTTAAACGTATTGGAAACTGAATACTTTTTGTTTGTGATAAAGAAATAAAAGTATGATATTTAACCTATTCATTTTGAAAAGTGGTTTAAGGCCAAATTGCCCATGAAGTCGTTATTTAGTTGTTTTAAATAGATAATATATAAAAGTTTTCTTTTCCAGATGACGTTATTAATAACAGTCCATTATTAAAGCCAAAGAAAAAAAGGGGACGAAGAAAAAAAAATCCGGAACCAGAAGAGGTACCTCAATTTTTGTCTCTTAATACACACTTAGTACACAAAAATATTGCCATTAATAGCGACATTGTCTGATCATAGCCATTGTAAACGTTATAGGATGGTGTGTGGGAGAACATGACGTCAGCGCGCACGCAGCAGTGGCAGCGGCGTGCACGTACACCCGTGCGTCGCTCCCCCTCCCCGCCATCTGAACCGGACCCACCCCCTGAACCCTCGCCGCCTTCCCCGCCCTCACCCCTACCACCCACAGACCCCTCACGACCATTTGTATGTCGTCATTGCGGGGTCGGCTTCGCAAGAGAGAAGGCGTTGCAGTCACATTCTAGAGTGAGTCAATATCTTTTATTCATATTACTAGCTATTGTCCGCGATTTCGTCCGTGTGGAATTAAAAAAAAGTAGCCTATATGTTCTTCCAAATTCTATAAATTTCATCGAGATTCGAAAGCCGTTTTGGCGATACGTAGTAACAAACATAGTATTTATTCGTGAGGTTATATATATGTGTTGTGCAGATCCACGGCGGAGACTCACCAGTGGAGTGCGGCGATTGCGGCGAGCTGTACTGGTCGCGCGAAGCGCTCGCAGCGCACGCCGCACACAAACACCCGCATGCTGCTCCACGCGCACGACGAGACCCCTCTTACGAACTCTCAAACTCAGGTATTCATACCTTAATATATACTAAGATAAGGGCTGCACAAAATAAAACTTCCATTAAATTAGTGACATATTATTATGGCATGTATTGTGGTGACATTTGTGTTCTCTGCCTACTTTTTCTAGTTTAGGGCGTATGTCGTTGTTAACCAATAATATTAATAAAATATTTGTTAGTCAATTCCTACTTTTAGCAATACATTTTTAAATATTAATTATTTTCATGTTTTGAACTGGATTTTACCAGATCGTTCTATTAGTCAAGCCCTTACATTTGACACATGTTGGGGTGGTTGCATAAAAATATGTTATTTTGTAATGGCAGCCATTTCTTCAGGATTAATGTTGTATTTATCAAGGTTATATTTATGTTTAGACGATGACTATGACTACCGCATGTCGCTGGAGTCGAGCAGTGAACGCACGGGGTACGAGGCCCGCGGGCCCGAGCTGCGCTGCCAGGACTGCGGAGTCGCTTTCCAGCGTGTTGACTTGTTGCGTCGTCACGTCGCTGCCGCTCACAAGTATGTATTAAAAAAAAACAATAAGTGCAAAAACTTCGCTGATCTTCCGAAAGTAAATTTTTATTATTAGTTTTTATAGTAAAATAGTCTTCAGTACCTTATCTATAACAATAGTACAAAGAGGAAAGAATTGATTGTTTCTATGCATTGAGCAGGCTCCGAACCGACTGAACCAATTTGAAATTTCTTTCACTCTTTAGAAGCTACACTATCTCCGGGTTAAATAAGCTATATTAATTACTAGATTATTTTTAATTTCACGGACGGAGTCGCGGGCAACAGCTATGATAAATAAAATGTATAAATGTGACAGTTATAAGCGGCATGATAGCACGAGCAGTGCTGGAGGTGGCGGTGGTGGCGGCGCATGGGGGTGGGGCGAGCACGCGTGTGACGTGTGCGGCGAGACATTCGCAGATCCGCTGCAGCTGCTTGCGCATGCTGAGGGCCATGCGGAACGACACCGGCCCAATTCCACCAGGTAACTTGTCCCAACATGAACTAGCACTCAAATATTTATTTAGACATGTTGAGGTAGCCATCTTCACATGATAGATAATTATTGCAGATTTTCTTATGATGGGCTTAAAATTGAATTTTTTATGTGGTCTAGTTGTATAGAATTTACAATTTTAGTCCGTTTTCAGATTAAAAAGAATGGGTCGCGGCAAGACCACCACGGCATCTTCTAATAACTCGAGACAGTTTCCTTGTAGAGAGTGCGGTAAGCTCGATTAGAGATAATTATTACTTTTAATTTGTAATTTAACTTAGTGAAACAGCAATAAGTAATTTGTTGATTTATTTCTCTGTCTTTAGGCAAGGTGTTTGGTTCGCGCAGCTCGCAGCAGATCCATGTGCGTATTCACACGGGCGAGCGACCGTACGCGTGCCGCTTCTGCTGGAAGGCCTTCGCGGATGGCGGCACGTTGCGCAAGCACGAGCGCATACACACCGGTACATACTAATACATGAATACACATCTCTCACCGTAACGTAGTCGACTACAGGCGCCTGTGCATTATAGAATAGCAATTTCACGTCAAGTCAAGTAGGGTTGTCGACAGGCAGGCGCCCGGTTGTAAAAAAATTAAACCAAAACACTGTGCGCCGACAGCATTCGAGTGGGATAAGGTAATGGAATTATCTATCAACTCACTTCCCAATGGCATCTTTATATGCTTTTATATTGCAGGTGAGAAGCCGTACGGATGTGCGGTGTGCCCGCGCGCGTTTAACCAGCGTGTCGTGTTGCGCGAACATGTTCGCTCCCACCACTCCGCGCCCAACAGACGCACCAACGGTACTGATACATCACACAAACTAACACATAAAATATTTTTATTACGTACATTTTTTAAAGCGAGTGAACCAGCGTAGTAGCTTCTTTAGTTTTATAATGATAAAATTTCATGCTATAAAAATTTTATGGTTGACAGGCAGCAACGTGTATACGTGCGTAGTTTGCGACCGCACGCTGCACTCTAGTGTGGAGCTGGTGCAGCACCTCATACAGCACTGCGACGCCAATACCGCCCTCAAACGGCAGCCGCAGGTAAGCATTTACATCACTTGTTGATTTGCAACGTCTAAGTCCATTGGATTGATGATAATTATAATTAAATATTCACAGAACGGCCCTCGGAAGTACAAGCGGCGGCGGAAATTGAAAACTGAACTTGTGTCGCCGAAACGTGAATGGGAGGAGCCTGAGCGTGCGTCCTCCCCCTCCGCCGCATCGGGTGCTTCCCGCTCCCCACCACGTGCCTCTCCGCCGCCCTCACCTCCGCGTCGTCTCGCCTCCCCGCCACGCCGCGCCCCACCACCTCCACGCCGGCGACGTCGCCGCGCACCCCCTGCGCCGCCCCGTCCTCGCATGATACACACCGAGGAGGCCAGGCCCAGGACTAAGCAAGTCAGTATGCGTAATGATTAAAACATGTAGAAACAAATTAAATTTATGGACTGAATAATGTATGTTCTTGCTTGTCACAGGTGCGCGGCCGCAAATCGCCGAGGCAGCCCGCTGACGACTTGCGCGCAATCGCCGTGCCCGCCTCGCCGGCCTCCCCTTCCCCGCCGTCGCCACCCTCGCCGAGCATGGCGCACGCATCCCCCGACTCCCCCGACACGATGTCTCCGCGCTCAACGCATTCTCCCCACTCCCCGGCTGGGCCGTTCAAGTGCGAGATGTGCTCGCTGGAGTTCGAGGACCGCGACGCTCTTCTGTTGCACGTGCCTGTACACATTTGACGCGCGAGCTCGCGACTACGCACACGGAATTGTAGAAATCTCGCCGGCGTGTAACCACATAAAACACACTAGTGGGTAAATATTTTAATATACTAGTGCTCGGATGGCGAACTTTTACGTGTCGAAGTACTTTTATCAAGAAATGTTTGATGCGGTCATAAACGTGTCATCAAATAATTATGATAATAATGGAAACATTCCGCAGCGTAGAGATCACTTGTGTTGGCTCGTCATTGTGCTGCGTGCCATTGATCCGCTATCCCTGTACTAGTGTGTGGTATTAAAAAGGCCTTACTCAGGTAATTACATGATTCACACACGCATTATTGCACGTTTTAATTTTTTGATACCTAACTTGGACGCTTATTTTATTATTGTTATTCAAATAAAATGGAAACTTAATAATTGCTCGAATCTTTCAATGGCAATTTTTGTATTGAGATAGTATTTGAGGTGGTCCTTATATAAGTGTACATATTTGAATATAATGTACAATTAAAGAGTTTTAATTGATGTAAATAATAACTGTATTTTGTAAAAAAAATAGGAATCATTCAAATTATAATTTTGGCTGTGACTGTCTGACCCATAAGTTAAAGCAAACTATGTTTAAAATAACATAATTTTATTCAACTTTATGAGTTTCTAAAGTATTTTGAATAATGTAAACTATTTGTAAAGTTTATTATTATTTTATAAATTGTAAAAACCAAAAACTTTTGTAATCTGAATTTACTTATTGAGAATATTGTAAAATAACAAAATGAAATAAACAGCAAATTGCACGTGACTGTTTCCCGGTTGATTTTAATTAACGTAAAATAAAATGTTAAAATTCCTAAAGAAATTGATAAAATTGGCAAAAATTCGATACGAATATTACTTACAATAATTTGTTTGACTTTATTGTTCTTTTTGGCAGGAACCAATTACGTGAAAATTATCATCTATGTATTTATATTAAAAATAAAATAATTATTACGATTATAATAATTGTTATTGATGTCCTTTGAAAGGTGGTTAATTTTCTGTTGTAATACGCTAATTGACTGATTAATCGATTAGTTTATTGTAAAAATATTAGTATGTAATGTAAACATGTAAATAAACTTTATAAATATAATTTAATAACAAAGATACAATGCATTGTTGTCGCTTGTGTGTTTTGGGAATATTTAAATGGAAATATGGGTTTATGATACTTTTATTGTTACGTGACATATTGTCTCTGTGCTAGTGCCAGTAAGTGTTTACATTATGCCAGTTGTCTACAAGTACTGTTATTGTGCGCTACTGTCTTACTGTACTGGAAAAATGTGAGCGATTACAATGTGTCAATACAAGAATAACTGCAGTCAAAACCCACAATGAAAGCAAAATGTTGCTTGTAAATATAGTGCAGTATAGTTTTTTAATGTTTAAATTTTGTAAAAGGCAAAGATTAACAATTGTAGTATTTCGACGGGAAAAGTGCAAGTTTGTTAGTTATTTTTGATGAAATCATTTGCACGTATGTAAACTGCGAAAACAGTTCTCCGAGACAATCTTGTAGTTTCCACCAACTGTAAACAATGCATCCAGATAAAAAACTCACATATGTGCCATACTTTAACTGAAGGCAAAAGTTAAAAAATGGCTACTACTAAAAAGTTGAATACTACATTCCCCAATACGTGAGTAAAGGTTTTAAATAATGAGATAATACGTTCAGAATCTTTGTTTTGGCAGTATTTTATATATTCAGTATAAATATTATCGACATCTATTACATAAAATTTTATGATTTGTAGTTTACCAGTTATTATTTTCGTAATGTAGCTGTAACCAAATGTAAATTTCTCGATATTTAGTGATAATAAACAGATCTATCGTTTAATTTCTTAGTTTCATTTAATTATCACATATTTTTTACTGCATACTATCATCAGATTCCTCTGTCGAAACATTTTTTCGGCATTATACTTTTTGCTAATCAAGCCTGATTTTTCTTGGCAAATGTTGCGGTTTGATAACACTCGCGTTCAGTGTTACTTTCATTGCCTGTTATTGTGAACAGCAATACCCGCGTACTATGTGAAACAATACGGAAAATTAGAATACCCGGAACGTACGCAGCTGTTCATTTTATCCATTTCAATGCTTGGGATAATTTCTTTTAGTTATTTGTAGGCGGATTCTACTTTTGTATTTTTTTTTATGATATGACAACACTGAGCTATGTAAGATGATTTATTGTCAAATGTCAAAGAGGTTACAAATACAAGTTTGTAATTATTACACTTATTTATCTAAAAACCGTACATTGCTTTACAAATGAGGTTTCAGAGAACAAAATTTAAACAACTTTGCCTTTTCTTATGAAATATTTCTAAGTTACAATCAGCATTCAAATTGATAATAAGTGACTATTAAAGGCAATAATGAGTAAACAGAAACAAGTACATTAATTAAAATAACTGTATTGTGATGAAATTATGGAATTGGATGGTTAATAACAAAAATGACAGATGTTAACTGTGAATTTATTTTTGAACAATTACGGTCCAGTCGAAAAAAACTTTTCGAAGTAGCATTATCAAATGCAAAAAATGGAAAAGTGTTTTACATACTGCAAGAAGAATTAAATGAATTGCCTGAATTATCACAAGATATCAATTCTGTGAACCGACATTATATGAAAATGATAAGTTTTCTCTACACAAAAACTATAGATTCACTGATTGAAAGTATTTCCACTTTACCAGAATGGCAAAGCATTCCAAATACAATAATCTTGGATAATTTAAATGGTTACTGTAATAAAAATAGTTTGCATAAAGCTTGCGGTATTGTCGCATTGCTCATAGACACTGCTAGAAGTTGTTCTAAATCCCTTAATACATCTTGTAATTTATACATATCTGTAGATAGACAAGCTGTGGGTAATGATTACTGTAGTGTTATAAAAGATATGTATGCTTTAAAGTTGTGAATGTAAAAACCTGATTATGATTTACCTAATAAATATGTTATTCTGTACTTACTTTGTTTTATTTTATGCATAAAGTACTTACTATAATTGTAAAAACATAACACAATTATCAAATATCTGCACTGTAGCAATTTAATTGTAACAAAAATTTTATAATTTCCTTATTTATATAAGTACATAAATAACACTTAGACCTCTCACTTTCCAAAATCTGTAAATATTAATGTTTCTTATGTTACTTTTGTAGATAAGTAATTGGTAAAATAAACATCAATACTAAAAAAATAAGTCAATTTGCACTTAAAAATAAATTGTCAATTTAATCCACATTTCCAATTTTAATTCAAAAGCAATATGAATTATGTACAATACATATTTTTTAAAGGAATGAATATTGTGATTTCAATGTAAAAATTACACATACAAATTATACATAGTGCAGAATCAAATGTATCAAGAAAATCACCTTAATTTCAAAACAATATAAAGTAAGAAAAACACGAAAATAGAGAACAAAAATAAATAAAATATGTAATAATTATGATTTCCCTTTCCCATTCTTAATACTCTGCCCATAGTTTTGCCCAAGAACCCTGAACTTCTATCAACATCATCGTCGAGTCCACGTAAAATCTTGTCTTGTATTCTCACTTCATTGCCAATTTCTATAGACATATGTTTTAATGTGCTTATTTTTCCGCTAAGTTCCTCTGCCATTCTTTCATTTTCATGTTCCAAGACATCTTCGGTAGCGACCCTTGGTATAGGCTGATACTGATAACCGTCTCGCGCTCTTCTCATATTGCTTCGCCCCGCCGTATTGAAAGATTGATGAAACTGTTGTGCAAGTGAAAAATTGTCGCGTTAGCTTATACGCCTGATTAATTTAGCTTATTTTCAATTTTATATGACTTAGAAAAACTTACGAAATATAGCCGAAAATACTAAAATGGTAATAGAGACTAAAGGCTGATAAATATTTTTTTTAACTCCAACACTTTAAAAATAAGAGACAAATAATTAATTGACAGACTGACACGACACACGAAATCCGTAAACTTGTCACTGTCAAAATCATCTGATGAGTGGCAAAGAGCATATAAAAGATTCATTCAAGCTTTTCTTTTGTGGGTACATCCTTTTTAATTAATAATGCTTTAGAAACATTTTAATTCAATAAAATATTTTGCAATTCTAAATGTGGTCTTCCAATAAGATATATTTTTAAACTACTACACTTTTTAGGTTATCACACTTTTCTGACCTTTTTCTTTAAAATTTAAAGCCGCGAATAGACATGCCTGTAGCTGGCATACTTGCATGCAAGTGGAGGGAAAGAACGTGGCGGGGCTCGGAAAACTAACTTCAAATGTTTTAGTAAAGTAGCAAATGTATCCTTGTTGCACCAGTGACGGGCACGCGCCAGAACAGGTATGCCAGCTACTCCTCCATTTTATAGGCATTTGTATTCCCGCCTTAATGGTAGGTATGGAGTAGTCACAACTCAAAGTAACAAAGTTTTTTTTGACCTTTCTAACATTAGATAGAAATACATAGGTATTGTTTTTATGGATTCTTATGACACCAATAAATCACCTTCAAGGGAATTCAATGGCAATCAATTCATACTGAGGCTAATAATTACAATAAAGAAATTAAATCTTAGTCTTATCTCTTACTTGTAATACAGTAACCTCAATTAGCAATCCAATTATCATTTCCTTATAAAAACTTTTAAGTCGCAATGATGCATCCAATACTTCGGTGTTACCAGTCAGAATTGTATTTCAAAGTGTTACCAGTTATAGCATTAAATAAAAGATCATACATGAAAGATAAAATGTGCAATTTTAATATTTACAATATTTTACTCATAATATAGACAATGTTAAACTAATTATATCCTATTGTATAATACACATGTCGTAAAGTACAGTCGGCGTCACAAGTAATTTAAATCTAAACTTTATTTCAAATCAAGACCTAACCTTTGTAAACAAATTACGCGAGCATTAGAATATTTTATTTCACCACAAACACATTTAATAATCAGTACATTTTGATATTATACAACTTCATTGACTTGTGAAAAAAGTTGAATTTCACACATATTATATAAATAAGTCTTGATATGAAACATACACAATTATGCAAGTAGAAATCACAACAACTATATAGAAAATAACATTTTAACTACATGTTCAAAGTACCATGATATGTTTGTGTGATGAAATGTCTTTACACCTTTTATCATGTAATTAATTATATAAAAGCAATGCTTACTTGCAACACTGACTGTTTACACCAAGTGTGATTCAAGTCACTATAAAAATGTGAATAAAACTAAATGAATACTATCATATTTACAATTGTATTCTCAATCACCAACACCAATATATTGCTTAAAGTTCCACTAAAAAACCTATTATTTTGGGTTACCACTGATGACACACTCAGACAAAAACATCATCACGCTGAATAAACCAAATGTTTTTTACGAGTGTTTCGGCTATGGAAACCCTATCTTTTAAATACATAAGTGTATAAGTTCATTATCTATTGAAACATGAGCACTTGTCAGAAATACGTAAAGTTTTTTTTTGCTTAACTTGGCTTGCATGTGCAGGATTAAATATCTTTATGGTGTATTCATAGAAATTGATACATGAATTTTAGACCATGTATATTGCTGTCAAGACATTTTTTAGTGCTGTTTCATAAATAAATATAACATTAATTTTACACTCGTAAAAATATGTGTACAGAATTACATTGTAGTCATTTATATTTAAAATTTAATTATTCTTACAAACCAAACAGTCGTACAGATAGTTTAAGTCAAATTGTCGCGTGGTGCTTAGTATGACCAAAGTATAAGCCAGTCACACTTGTATCGCCAAACACAGCGCGCCAAATTAAGTTGAACCATCTATAACATAGTTACAATAACTCCACACTCTGCGTCCACATAAGACATCGTATCCATGTTCACACACAGTTAACACATTGTGCACTGAGGGACACTAGGCCATTAGGAAACATTTCATAATGTCGTCCGTGCCTCATTCAGGCTTGCTGGCCCCTGTTATTGTCTCATACTGTTCCTTGTCCAGCTCCGCCATCGTGAGTGTGCCGTCAGGTAATAACAGTACTACACGCCGAGTGCCACCTAACAATAAAAAAGGGAAATTAATTAAATATGTTACGAAGAAGCTTAAGGCAGACACTGCTAAATAGTAAAATATCTATTAGTAAAGGACTTTTTGGTTATCAACCTAATAAACTGAGACTTGGGTATTTTTAATTTACTAGTAGCTAACGTCAGTCGAAACTGATTACTTACCTGGCGAAGGCAATTCGGCCTGCACGAGCTGCGCGATGACTTGTGTGGAGTCCTCGCCCGACTCGCTCTCCATCTGCACTGCGACCTGCTGCAGCGCGCCGCCCGCCTCGCCTCCTGGCAACAGCTGCGCCAGCTGACTCGAGTCGATCGACAGCACGTCCTGCACACATACGTCACAACTTGTTTAACAATTATTGGACAGAAATTAAAGTACAGTTTCATCGATCTAGATCTTAGTTCTATAAGATCACATACAACCTTAGATAATTGCCAGACAACCAGACTAAGCCTAATAATAGTGCAATTAGATTAGCTTTACCTCGTCTAATTTAACTTTTTTTACAAATTGAGTTTATTAAGAGAAAAAATTTCAATGTATGTGTGTGATATCTGACCTGTCCCTCTTCCCTGGTGACATACATGACACCCTCGCCGTCACCCTCCCCGCGCTCTTCGCCCTCCACGGTTCCTTCCACGCCCTCCACACCTTCTACGCCCTGCGCCGCCACCAACACTGTTTGCCCGTCCTCGTTCTCACCGGCTACCTATAAGATAGCACAAGTATTTTCATTGCTAAATATTTAACCCTTTTCTTGATTTAAATTGCAAGTCACCTTGAATAAGTTTCCCTTGCAGCTATATTGTAGATATGCACTTTCGGTTTTATTTGCTACGAATCAAAATTATTTGTATAATTTGAAAATATTTTAAAGAAAAATTAATTTCTACATTTTATTACCAATCTAAAGTCTAAGAATAAACCAAAATAATTGGAAATTATTGACTTACTTGATATAGCACCCCATCTTCACCTCGAATCATGATTGGTGGGTGTCCAGCATGCAACAGACCCACTTCCTCGCCATCGTCAACACCCACGCCTTCTTCTAGAAGTTGTTTCACTGCACTCGCCTCGATCTTTACTTCTGTCTGTTAATACACAAATACGTTATAGAATCACATGGAGTCTAAATTATTTTAAATTTAATAACAGAAACAATTCTTTACACTGCTATTATAAATTAATTAGTATAACTTACTCCATCTTCATCTGTCAGCACAGGTAATGATGGCTGTGCTCCATCTCCTTGCACCAACATCCCTGTCGTGCCTCCTGGAGACATCTCCACCTGTATGTAACACATAAACAATGGAGGATGTACAATGATTTATTGTCATTAGTTACACATAGTTATTGATAATGAACACAATAGATTAAGCTAGTAAGTGATAATCTTTTAAAAAGTAGAAAATATATGACAAGTAATCTAACCTTCATAAGCATAGTGGCGTTGTGATGCGGTGGTGGAGTTGTAGCGGGCGGCGGCGTGGGTGGCGGAGGCGGTGTCGGCGGCGGCGTAGGCTCGCCCTCAGCGCGCGCCAGCCGCTTGCCCGTCAGCGGACAAAGTGTCAACTCCCGCTCCGGACTCGGCGACGGTAATGGACCAAGATCACTTGGGAATGGATCTTCTACGCCATCCGATGATTCCGAAGACGCGTCCGACTGAAAATTAATGTAGGTAAAATAAGGAAGCAAGGAAACCAAGTATAATCAAAGCAATTAAACCAAACTGCACAGATTTCACTATACAACTGGATGATTGTAGTGAAATTAAGCTCTAAAACTATCAATGTTTTAGTAAAGAAATACATAGTGACCTTGTCAAAGTCGAATGGCATATTCTTGTCCCGAATCCGTACGATGTTCCCAGCAGCCGTGGACACGGAGTACCCGCCCCGGCCGCGACCACGAATCGATCCGCCTCGCCGTAACAAACTGTCACCCTATCACAGCACACAATAATATAATATTAAAATACAGACAAAATATGTGGACATTTGACATAGAAAATTTTTGGACATCCTGTTCTTTGATAAAAGAAAGTCAATTTCTATGACAAATGTCATATAGGTTGATTTTGTTGTAAACATAACACAGAACCTTAACTTAGTTTTATCAAAATTATGTCACCATAAACAACGTTAAATCAATGATTATTACCTGTGCCAACTTTTTGTTAAGGATTGTGACGGGCGATTTGCCCTCAGACTGACCGAACGGCCGCTGTATTGTGCGCTGAATGATCTTCTGTCCTGACGGTGTGATAATAGTCTTTTCTGTGACTTGTTGTCCGCTTGCTGAGTATGTTCGTTTGGGCTAGGAAGAGAAACATAGCAACGTAAATAAATATAACACTACCAATTAAAGGAGAGATTTGAAATGTTTGGTTTTCATTGATATAATCAACACTAAACATACCTGTGTAGAGAGAGGTGTTCGCATCGGTGACGCATTCTTTTTACTTTCTTCAAGCTTTTTCTGTTTCGCTGCCAATATTTGTTTTCGGATCACATCTTGGTCAATGTTCAGGCCGGGACCTAGTTTCCCAGGTGAGTCAATCTTCATTATGCCTGAACTCTTCGACATTATGTAAATACCTACAAAGAAGACATTCCGTTTAAGTAGTGTGTATAAACCTAACTTGTGTAGAAAACCAAGAATAATAGTCACTTTTATGGGGCAGATTATAACAAGAGAATTGAATGCTAAAAAAACACGAATTAAATTCTATTAAAGAAGCACACGTTTCCCTAACGGATAAACACGCTCGACTCTTTTGCTTTGTTCTCCTTTCCGCTTAAACGTTTTGATTTATCTAATTGCACTATGAACATTTCTAAATGTCAAACCACACAGTAAAAACAATAAAAGTGCCGTATTTACCTGTGGTAAGGTTCGGCATATGTTTCGGATCAACTTGTATAACCCCCTTAATATTCGGCATGCCCTTGCCACTGAGCCCGAGTGACTTCACAAGTTCAGGGTCTAATGATGACTTTGGTGATTCCATACCATTCCCATTTAGTACTCTCTTCTCAACTGAAATCGCCGAGAATCATATACAACCTCGTTCTATTTCTAATCTAATTTAATGTTTTGTACAGTCAAGGAGATTAATTCCTATCCATATAAAAAAATAATTTTGAAGAACATTTGACTCTCATAATACAAGTAAACCCAAACTTATAGCGTCATTGAATGTCCTAAATTGGAGTTCTTTTGTGACAGTTTGTCGTAAGATATTTAATCCTAAGTAGGGAGCGAAATTAATTCCTTGACTGTACAGAACTGACTTACATTACAAGCATCTACCAATGGTAATATTTATAAGGATAAATTTTAATTACTTTGCATGTTACTCCTGGGTGATTCTGCGTCGGAATAGTCCTCCTCTTCGCTGGACAGTTCCTTCTTTATCTTCTTAGCGGCGGGTTCATCCTCTGCGCCGCACCACGCTTTCACCTGGTCCAAGGCACGCACTTTACTTGTTCTTTGTAGGCGACTGAAAAAAAATATAGCTAAAGGTACCTCCTATACACTTAGCCTAATCTTTATCACAAAGTAAAGATGTTGTATAGATAAAATGTGGTTTAATAAATATTTGGTTTCTTACCCAGAAGAAGATATCATTGGGCTGTCAGATTTTTTAACAACCTGCTTGACAATTTGTGGCAAAGGTGTGCTGATTTGTTTGACCTAAAGAAAATTAGAAAATTAGTTCAGCCCATAAATGAATATTAAAAAAGTACACATATTTTTAATGAAAGACGTAGCTTACCTGTACAGGATGTTGTTGCTGCTGAGCTCTGAGAGCCTTCAGCTCCTTCTGTCTCGCGAGCTGCTTCTCAAATGCTTCCAGAAGATGTTTACATGTCTCCATATTCTCTACTGGCTCCCATGTGTTTTGCTCACTGTATTTATATTAATAAAAAACGTAATTAGGGAAAAGTAAAATACAGAGTAATGTGCCTCAATAAATCCTTTATATGGAGAAAGAAAACCATTCATCAAATTAAATGATCAAACTCTTTCTAAACATTAACATGATATGCACTTAATTTTTGTGTAGGAAATAGCAATGTGTGTGCAACAAAATTAGTACTTACTGTGGATAACCCTCCCATTTAAGTAGGTATTCATATTGTTTCCTGCGAGGGTTGAATCGTTTGGCGAGGATCTTCTCAACAACGTACTCGCCAGCCTCAGCGGGGTCACCGCCCTCGCGCTCCGTGCGCCGCGCTATCCTCTCCTCAGGAGGCACTCGCTCCTGCGCGTTACGTACCGACTCTTTGTCTGAAAAGTCCTACAAAAAAGAATCAAATATTTTTCTATCAATGAAATGTAATAATGCATAATAGAAATTTATATTTATATATATAAAATATGTAATAAACATATATATTTACGAATAATGCATCATCGAAGAAGAAAAGACAACACTTGGCAGTACCAAAAGTTTCTCTTTAATATTAAATTTTTGTATAAAGTTCCTAGATATATTGAAAATAGTGCAAGTAATCATTTTTTCAATCACTCAACCACATTCATGTCAAGCTCATTTTAAATGGTAATGAAATTTATTTACCTTTGGTCGTGGTGTTTGGAATGTAACTGATTTATTCATGACTCTATGAGCAGGGTTAGATTTAAAGTCATCACTCTCTTCACCAGATGGCATTGCTTCAGAGTCTTCCTGCAAGTTATGATAATGTACATGACAAAAGAACATACTCAATTTGATTATACACTAAATTAATATCATTAGAAAAAAGAATTCATAAAAAAATAATTATTATAAAATTTCAAACACAACAAATATTTTAGTATTTATTAATATCATGCAAAAACCTGTATGTGTTGTAAAAAATTATGAAAATAAGATGGTTTATTAGCAAAAACTAAATGGTCTTACCGCTTTAGGTATTTTTCTTGGTCTACCCCTTTTTTTAACTTCTGTGGAGGGGGTTTGAACTGGTACTAGTTGATCTTCAGTCTTTACTTCCATCTAAAATTATTGACAAATTGTAAAATGTCTTTGACATCCATTAACTTATCACATTCAATGCTACTAAGATTTTATAGCCAATATAAAAAAAGGTCTGATTTTTTTAAAAAAAAAGACAGACCAGACATTATTTTTAGACATTGGAAACGAACAGTTTTATCGTACACACACAGTCATTCCAATTTAAATTTCTAACTGGTTGCATACAAAAACATTGAAGTTTTTGCAATAACTTACAACTTTAGCATGTGCAAACTTAGACAAAGCCTGTACATTGGAGCCGGCTGTAATCCAGGCAGTTCTCTGAGCCTCTGGCATGCGGCACCACTGCTGATATAATTTCCAGCTGTTGTCAGCATTTGATGTAGATCCATCCCGAGCCGAAGAACACTTCCACAGTAGGAAAGCCCATACTTGAGCTTTGCTTTCATTCTAAAAAAATTATAAAATATCAAAAATACTAAAAAGATATAAGTAACATTTCTTAAAGTTTTTAATTTTACTACTGGTTCATTGAGTCAAAAAGAAAAATGTATAATAATTACTTGTAATATTAACACATTTAAAACAAGTTACCTATGGTTTGGAGCTGAAGACCTATTATATAATAAAATGAAATAACCAACAGCCAATATTCATAATGAGGAAAGATAATGCTACTGAAAGTGTGATCAATGCTAAACACTTACACTATCTCTGACTGGAGACTTCCCAACACAGTTATTAGCATCTTTATGCTCTTTGAACTCTTCATAAAAGTGAAATGCAGAGTGACACTGCCCACAAACCAGGACATCTAGAGTGGCCATCTCTTCATGAGCCTCTGTAATAAGTAATGTTGCATCAATTAAGAAATTAAAGCTAAAAATTAGAAACAAAACTTTATAGGTCATTTAGATTTTTGTTATTTAATTTAACCTTTCAACGCAGTCGGGTTTTTTGTTAATTCGTCAGGATTTCCCGCCGCCACTTCTGCAGAAGGCGTTTCGCCTTCTTCTACGGTTGTCATTTTGCTATTCTGATAACCTGTAAAAGTTTAATGAGTCAAATAATGGAATGAAATCAGAATATTATTGTTGATAGATATCACAAATATAACCTTGCTAATCTTGGCCGGCAACTTCCCGCCAACTCATTAAATGTGTACAATTTTCGACATACCAATTTATTTATAAAGACGCTTTAAAACCTATGATTGAATTGCAACATTTTAAACAATTGTAGAAATAAGATCATTCCACCTTCCACATAAACAATCCAATAACTTAAGACAATTCGATCATTTAATTGAAATTTCTATCTGTGACACAAGGCAGCGACGCTTAGCATTATGCTTTACATTATACCAAGCTGTTATAAATTTAGATACAACTTTTCGATGTTTTAATAAACCATTCTGAAGTCATTCCTCCGATTTACTTACATTTAAGACTTACCAAAACAATGTCAAAATTATATTTTTTTTAAACAAATTAAATCACTTCACAAACACAACGAAAAACGGAACACCTAATGCAAGCACCAAATACTTTATGAGGGAAAAAAAGCTTTCGCCGTCAAAATCATTACGCCCTCTAGCGAATGCCGACAATTCTTGTTCTCTTTGCATCGGATGTTCTAAGCAGCCAATAGATGAAGAGGATGGCTCCTTTTCGACCAATGACGAAATTCCAACCAATTAAGCGTGTTGTAACAGACTTGCTGTTAATCGTATGCCGAAATAGTTTACCGACATTCGATTACACCGACATTTTATGCCGACATGTAAAATTTCTTTGTAGAAATGGTTTATTTACCGTTTTATTCAGCAAAAACATATTAAATTCATTACTTTTGTAATGAACAGCTAAAAAGATTTCATATTTATTTCAAAAGTTGTTTTTATTGAAAAAAATAATCATTTATTTGATGGGTTAAATGTAGAAAAATGCTATTTATATAAACTCTTTCTCGAAAATTATAATAATTAGACAATGATAAGCTTGTACTGGCCTCTACTTGTAAACTATTATTCCTGCACAGAATTAAGATTAAATTTATATGAAAAAGATACTCAATATCATTAAATTAATATATATTTATGCCCGTTACATTAAATTTAATATGTTTACGAATTAAAAAAAAATTGTTTATATTGGTTTAAAATTAAAAATTATATATATAGAGTCCTATAATTACTAACGATCGCCGAGACCCAAGTAGGTGCCTTTGGGACTTACACATCAATGTCTCGTAACCTAGATATTACCAACCATCGATACCTATATATTTTTGTCGCATTGGTTAGATTACTGATCACACATTATAATTTATATGAACATAAAAAATATAATATTTTGATTAATATAAAAAGCGGCGTAATGAAACTATCTCGTCCAATATTACATAACAGTTGGCCATTTACATAGTTGTCATAGATTTGGTTCTGGTGGTTATGGTAGAAATTAGAATTAGGCTAAGATTCTATACATCGCAGTCTTTTGATTCATTCGTAAAATTATAAATAAATTGTACGGACATCTCTGTCGTAGTCTATGCGTACTTTTTATTATTACCGCGATTTAACTTGCCTTGTGTTCGAAGTACCTTATAATCATATTTTTGAGTACGATTTTCGATATCTAGTTGGTATAGAAAAAAAATAATAAAACAACAAAACGTTCACGAATGGGATAGGCAGTAATCAGTCAATCGCGAACTTCCTTTTCTCCCTTCAGACCTTTAACGCTATAGACTTGAATGTCGACGATGAGAGCGTAGTATGATTTAAATACGCATGCTGTGTTGTAATACAAGTAATACAACAAAGTGTAAATTATTTTTAGCATACCTTTATCTTTATTAATTCTGAATGAGCACTAATAATATCGTATACCTCACGCGTCGTGTCTGGAATATCCTCATGGAATAGCGAATAACTAACAGTATGCGTCTTTTTAGAAGGAGGCAAAAAAGTAGACTAAATTAACAATTTCCTGAAAAAGCTATCTTTGAAGGTCAATTTCTATAACAACTGCCGCAGTCAACAATTAGTTAAGGGTAGTGAATAGATCTAAATCCAGGAAGTCCAAATGCTATTCGTCAGTTTTGAGGGTCGGCGCTATGTTGTTTCACAAAATAGTGAATTTAATTAATACAGAATAACTGTTAATTGCCATACAAAATAAATACAGCATTGTTCAAGCGATTTTATGTTTATATCCAATGACTTAAAGTTTGTATCGCTGCTCAATGCAAATTGGTAAAACAAAGTGTATTCGTAACTTACGATATTTTATAATCAGGTTTTGTTGCTCGAAAATTGTAGCTCTTTATTTACATTAGAATGTTGCATTTGATATGTGAATGATAGCTAAATTATTCTAAAATACTTTTTGCGGCATTTAAATTATATTTAATTGCAGACAAACTTTGTTTCTAGATCTAAAATCTAGATCAAAGATCAGTCACTGTTAAAGTTTTAATTTGTTTTGATAATAGTGCCCTCTAACGGATGTACTTTTATGCTATGATGTAAGTTGCACTCTCACTGCCAACAAACGCCCTCTGTTGGTAGTCCTAAGCCGCTGTCTCTTAAAATATTGCGAGAATTTTTATATTCCTGGCCAGGCTATACTTTTTTTATTCCGTAATAAATGAAAGTTTAATAAAAAAAAATCGCGAAGAAGCCTTACCATTTTGGCCAAGATTTGGCAATCGTTTTGCCTAATTTCAATCGAATTTACTACTAAAACGTACATTAATACGTTTCATAAGGTCATATGTTTTTTTTATTTATTCTGTAATTGTAAAACTTTTGCTGATAGAAGTTTTTGTCAGATTGAGTTTTATTCGCGTTACTTGGATGTAAGCTTTGTTTTAATTGTTTCTAGATTAAGCAGTTTCATCCTTTGTATCACGTTGGATCCATTTCTTGGACTTTTTTTTAGTTTGCTTTAATTTTTTCATTATTATTTGTGCAAAATGTTACCATGTTTTAAATAGCTTTACCATTTTTATTCTGTATCTTTGTTGCTTTGACGCATCGTGGGACGCTTTATTTTATTCGTTCTTTGCAAATAATTTTTCATACTATTGACTCGTTAGTGTTTTTTCTCATAATATTGTACGGGCTATAATATTATACCTAGTTTTATTATATTATTTAAATTTAACTATTCGTTATTGTTTCAGATAATGTCGGGCATAGCCAGTGCACGGTTAGCTGAGGAAAGAAAAGCTTGGCGCAAGGACCATCCCTTTGTATGTGCAGTTATAACTCAGTGTGTTATTTTATTTTAATATATGACCTTAATACTATTATTCACTTGCAGGGGTTTGTGGCAAGGCCTATGAAAAATCCCGATGGGTCTTTAAATCTCATGACTTGGGAATGTGCGATCCCCGGAAAAAAAGGGGTTTGTAACTTAATGATTCTAGAAACATTCCGTAGTAATTACAATTTTACGTATGCTTTTAAAGGCTTGGTGCGAATTGATTTAGACGAAATTTCGAAAATACCTTCAAAAAATACTTTGTTGGAAATAAAATGATTAATTCATCATAAAATTGTAACTAAATATTTTAAGAAATTGTCAAGTGTTTATAAACATTGCTTTATTTCATTTTTTAATATGAGATCAGACTAACATAATTTGACATGTTCTAGAAGTGAATGTGGAAATCTAATCTAGGCTTTCGCAACATTTAAATTAATATGATATTTTTAGACACCCTGGGAAGGAGGTTTATACAAATTACGGATGATCTTCAAAGATGATTATCCATCCACTCCTCCAAAGTGCAAATTTGAACCTCCTCTGTTTCACCCAAATGTGTACCCTTCAGGCACAGTGTGTCTATCATTACTTGATGAAGAAAAAGATTGGCGTCCCGCTATTACAATTAAACAAATATTGCTTGGCATTCAAGATCTGTTAAATGAACCCAATGTGAAAGATCCTGCACAAGCGGAAGCATATACAATTTATTGGTGAGTGCTTTGTTTCTATTCTAACTACTAGGCAAGATAATTGATTGATTTATATATACTCAAGAATTAATAGGCAACTGTTTAAAATTGACTAAGATTAAACCTTCAGATTTTAACTAAGATTAATAATACTCTGTGGGGACATGTTTTATATAAAATTCTAGACTGGTAAGGGATAATAATCATCAATTGTCAATTTAAGCTGTGATAATTACTGTAATTTAATATGAAAAAAATCAATAATGATTTTCGGTAGTTAATATTTAAGGAAGTGAATTTTACAATCTATGACTTATGTAGCCATTTTCCTCTGTTTACAGTCAAAATCGGCTAGAATACGACAAACGCGTGCGAGCGCAGGCGCGTGCTATGGCTGCCACCGAATAAATGAAGTCTTTTTAAACTTAGGCACTACGGTTACTAAAAGAAAACATGGCAAGATATTTAAGAGGGTCATAAAACATCACCAAGACATTGGTTAAAATAAAGACTTCTGTCTATATTCTGCCTATGGTTTAAGTTAGGTTTAAGGTTCATAATTTAAAATTAATGATTGGTTAATGTGGAGCATCAACCGAACCAAAAACTCAGTGTAGAAATCATTTCTTAGAATATAGAGATAATTTTCTCAAATCCTCTTGCAAGAATGTAACCGTAGTTATAATTTAGATTAATATGTGGAAATATTTACTGAAGTAGATAGAATATTACTGAGCTACAGTAAATAGTTTGACGTATTAACCTTAAAAATTAAAAAAAAATTCCAATTGTAAGGATCTTGTTTAATTTGTAAGTACTACTTGATGTTCATGATACAAGATTTGACCAGACATAGGCTTGTTAAATGTCTACAGTTTGCATTTGTGATCTAAATAGTATTGGATTTATAAATTGTAAGTTTATGAAACTTCTATGTGCGGAATAACCGAAATTTATCATAATGCAACAACACTGATAGTTATTTTAAAATTGTAAACAGTTTTGTCAACAAATGTTAACATTCAAATAAACATTAAGAATCTGCATCATTATCTTAATACTATTTTTGTATTTTATGTTAGTATATCGTCAATCAATAAATTTTTAATAATATTTTTTTTTATTATACAGACACCACTACCGAACATTTCTTTTGGCTCATTTTAAACTCTTCTGCTTTACTTCTGAGTCTGATTTTAAAATATTTCTGCTCTTAAGAGACAAAAATAATATTAGGTCTTATTTTGTCAATTATTAGGTTCCGATTTAGAACAACATTACTCAACAAGCAACAACATTTGCTCCTTAGTTATGCCTTAATTACAAGATGTAAAACTTTTCTTTTTTCCTCTCTGATTTACAATAGGAGTTAACCGTATGTTATCGACCCGTCTAAATATACCTTATTTACTTGTTAGGTTGCAATGTCTTCAATACTGCTGCTATTGTTAGGTATATTGCTGTATTTCTTCTCTGAATTCCAACATAATTCATGTCCTAACGCGAATCTCAGTTTTGTTTAAAGTAAGCTTTTAAATAAATGTTGATTTTTGAATATGTTATGCTTGCTCTTTGATTTTTTACATTTAAAATTAAAATTATTTTATATACTCTTTGTTTAAAATCATATTACCTAAAGGTATATGTTACCAGGTCATAAAATTAAAAAAAAAAATGATATTTGACATTGTCGTAAAAGCAATTGTGTCAGTGTCAAATGTCAATTCAATGTTTTGATTTAAGATTGATATATAATTTGCTATTGCAAAATAATTTTATTTACTTGAGCACTAATTTATAAATATAAGTGACTGTATAGATAGAAATACAAAGAAAACCTATATAGTAAAATCAATAGTTAAGATCATGGCTGATGATGAGCAAGATCCAAAAGAATACCGATGGGAGACAGGTTATGAGAAAACTTGGTATGTATTATAATTACTTTAGCTACTATACAAATAAAATCTTTATTGTTAAATGCTTATAATGTTTAATGTGAACAAAGGGAGGCTATTAAAGAAGACGAAGATGGCTTGGTGGAGGGCCTTGTGGCGGAATTCGCGCAGAAAGCTGCCCGCAAATCTGCGGCGCCTAGAAAAGGCCCAGTACGACTGGGTATGATGAGGCATTTACTTGTGGCAATTGATTGTTCGGAAGCTATGAATTGCCCTGATCTGAAACCGATCCGTTTCCTATGTACATTAAAGGTACAATTTTTTTGCCGTACTCTACACAGGTTAAACAGTATCTCTTTAACACTACCATGAAGTATTTTTCTCTTACAGCTTCTTGAAAAATTTGTTGAAGAATTCTTTGACCAAAATCCATTGAGCCAGTTAGGCATAATAGCAATGAAAAATAAAAGAGCTGACAGAATAACAGAACTCTCAGGAAATATTAGAAAGCATATTAAAGCTGTGCAGAGGTAAATCTATACTTATAGCTTCACAATTTCATAATTAACTTAGAGTGTACAAACATAACTGAAAATTATAATTATATTTAGCTGTGAATGTCATAAAATTCTGCAAAATGGTTTATAACCCTTCTTATTACAGCTTGTCAAATTTGGCACTGGTGGGTGAACCATCTTTACAAAACACACTGGAATTAGCCGGCAGAATTCTCAGGCCGCTGCCTGGCCACGCCTCAAGGGAATTACTTGTTCTGTTTGCATCTCTCACAACTTGTGATCCAGGAGACATTGTACCTACTATACAGGTGGATGTTATTTATATTAATTAATTATTACCACATATGATTTTGTAGCTCAGGGAAGGTAACAAGCTACCAGTTCACTTAACACACTACATGCCACTACAATTTTTCAAGTATAAGTGAACTTGCCAGATGAGTTAGTGTCAGGAAATGTGTTAATTAAGTTCTACTAGTAGAAAAAAGCATCAATATGAAGCTACATTATAAAAAAACTAAATTTTTGTCTGTTAGTAGGATTATTAATAGTAATACTTTACTTTGTATCGCCCCTCCTTATATATTTACAGGGACTAAAAACAGATGGAATAAGATGTTCAGTGATAGGTTTGGCAGCTGAAGTTAGGATTTGCAAGAAGTTGTGTCAAGACACTGGAGGGGAGTATGGTGTTGTGTTAGACGATGTACACTATCGTTCACTACTGCTAGAGCATACGTCGCCACCTCCACGGGCGCGTGCGTTGGACGCGGGACTTGTCAAAATGGGCTTCCCTCATACACCTCCACCTAACACTCAGTCTGATCCAAGTGGTAATGCTGACCCACCGATAACTGTTTGTATGTGGTATGTATCCGTCTTTACATTAATGTTTATCAATCAATAAATCTCAACACTTTCAGCGCAACTGACTCCCTATGCAAATTTTCCCTAACACACAAAGATCTGTAAATAGTGGCACTGGATGTGTTAAGTCATATAATCTATGCAACAAATAAAACTTTTCTTACTTCAAATATAATAAAAACAGACTAGTAATGACTGATTTTATATCTGAATTGGACTAAATTACACTACTTTTGAAAGTATTTGGTCTTATGTGTATGTCCAATGATATAACATAGAGATTTTTCTTGTTTTTTGTTACTTAATTTTATTGTTTGTTTGTCAGTCACTTGGAAGAGGGTGAAGGTGTGGGTGGGGAGGGACACCTGTGTCCGCAGTGTCGCAGCAAGTACTGCTCACTTCCGGCGCAGTGCCGCACCTGCGGGCTCACACTTGCCTCCGCACCACATCTAGCCAGGTATACAACCTTTGGTACTTTTGACTACTGTCACTCTTGAGGGATAAAATCTATCTAAAGGTTGAAAGTGTAGTATCAACAACAATAAAATTGTTGTGCATTTTTTTGTATATTGCTATAGGTTAGTAAATTTTATGAAGTAAATGTTTTCATTACCACCAGGTCGTATCACCATCTATTCCCTGTGGACCCATATGAAGAATTACTTAATGAAGGTCAAGCACAATCATGTTTTGCTTGTATAAGAAGTTTCACCGATCTTGATAAACAGGTATATTGACAATTTACCTTATTCATTAAATTGATTTAAATTTAAACGAATCGAATAGTCGTTACAAAGTAACTCACATACATATAATCTCACTCACACGCAAAAAATGTTAGTATTGAATTGTTGAATAGTATAACAAGATAAATAGGTTTACTTGTTGGAAAGGACAACTTTAATACTTTAAAATTATTTGTCGTTTTTTTTACATTTGCATTTTAAAGGTTAAAACTGTTTAGATATTCCGCTGTAAGCGCTGCAGTGAGTACTACTGCTGGGAGTGCGAGAGCGTGGTGGCAAGTTCACTGCATGTGTGCCCCGGCTGTGCCTCAAGACCTCATCTCTACCAGCGCCTGCCAGAACAGCGGTGACAACACGTCACTCTCAACACAAATTATGTTAATAGATAATTAAATAATACAAAATGCTTAAGAAGTTTCTTATTTGTTATTTTCATCCTTGTCTTCTTCATACGTTACAAATGTTTATAACCTACTAGCTGTCGCCCGCGAGTAATTAAAAAAAAACTTAATTATTAGGCTATGTGTTCTTCCATAATACATTCTACATTTAGGACAAATTTCATCAAGACCCGTTAAGTTGTTTTCAAGATACCTTCTAACAAACATCCATCCATTTGCATTTATAAGTAAGATGTAAAATTCTAATAAATAAATAAAAAAGACATTTTTAGAATGTAATGTGCTCTCTGATGCTCTATGATATGTGCAACAATGATTTTTTTTTTACTTTGCTTCTTTATGATGTGTTGCTTTGAGGAAAATGAAAAGAATTATATTATTTTAGCTATTTATTTATATCACAATTTGTAAGGTCAATGCGTGCCTATAAAAATATTAGTTTATTACACAAAATGCACGGTTCGTAAAGCACCTACACTCATCTGTCTATTTATAATATGGTCATCGTAAAAATCACAGATAAAAATCTCATTGCAACAGTTGCAACTCGCCTAAAATTGTCGGTCACAAATATAACAATATATTTGTTACAACATGATAACAAAATAACAATATTATTGTAACATCTTGACAAAAAATCGTGAATATCCTAAACGCCTTATGAATAATTCCTCATCACAATATGTTAGGCCAATTTCAACACTTTAACTAGGACAAGATTGTTACCTTTGATAACGAAAATGTACCTAAATTCAAATTAAATTTTTTTCCAGTCGTCCGATTTCTAGTTTCTCATTTAAAACTATAATTATTGCTAATTAAATTGCATTGATAGTCATTAAAATTGGCCTAATATTTTGTGACGATTTTAATAATTTAAAGTATTTGATGTTTTAAATTGTATTTAACGGTTAAAAAATGCAATCTAAAATATTTGTCATACATTTTCCTAACAGTCTTTGAGCGTTAGAAAAAAAACTGGTCCTGTTCATAGTTCATCACAGTTATTTTTTGCCGCCATATTTTCGGGATTATGAAACATTTTGTTTTGACGTTGTGTCGACATTTGTTTTTTTTATAATAATAATTAATATAATATGTATAACAATTCGAAATAAAAATCGCTAAATATTAATGAAAAAAGCACCACTTTTTAATTCCTTTTCTAAGGATTTCCTTAGAAAAGCTATTTGAAAAACTGTTTCTTTCCATAATTTTATGGAAAGAAACAGTTTTTCAAATAGCAGCTACTAGAAAACTGCTAGAATTGCCGGGTTTACTTTAGTTTCTGTTTTAGAGTTTGGAAGTTTACAAAAAACTGTTTGTACTCATAGAAGACTACACTATATGGAATATTGAACAACTATTACGCCCTTTAATTTGAACTATTTAATCTAAAGTTGCAACAGGGCGGTGAGAACGCTTTGGGTTAGCCCAACACTCTTAACTTATTCTACTTATAACTTAATACTCAAACTTGTTGACCGTCGGTCGTTTTTTTGCGCGTCACCCAAAGTATGTTGGGTTTCTGGTAATACTGTTCTATTTGGAGGAGTGATTTTCCTTTGGTTTCTGGAAGGAGGAGGAATAGGACGACCGTGGCTAGAGACGCGGCGGATCCGAAGAGCGCGAATACACCGGACATGCCGACCGAGTTCTTCATAACTGGGTACAGTTTGGTAAAACCGAAGAGGACGGCATTGAAGACACAGAATATGTAACCGCCACAGAGACCACGGACTTTGGTTGGGAGGAGTTCTCCAATCATGAGGCCTGGGAGTAAAAAGAAGCCAAGAGTATTGAAGGCGACGTAGCCTAGGATGAGTACTGGCGTTATAATGCCGGAACCCGCGTCCTGGTATAACAGGAAGGCGAGGGCGAGAGTACAGACAGCGGTGCCTATACCGGACATCATGACGAGGGAACGACGTGTTATCTTCAGCAGCAAGATGCAGGCTATCACAGTCACGCCGAGTCTTGTACATGCGCTCGCGTTTGCTACCATCTGTTATTCAAAAAAGACACTTTTAATTTATCAACCACAAAAATCTTCTACTTTATAAAAGTACATTTAAAAATCAACTTTTTCTTGTGATCGTAATATTTCCTTGATGTGCATATTTCTTGATGATTTTTAATTAGGATTAATTGTTGTATAAAAATCTAAACACCTTGAACACATTTTTGTAGGTAACTTACGTGAGGGCTGAGCGAGCCGCCGGCCTCTTTGACGATGTCAACAGCGTAGAATATAACAATGTAGCTTCCGGACAGGATCTGTAGCATGTTGAACGCGTTGATCAACAGCAGCGGCTTGAGCACGGGCGCCCTCGATACTGTCGCGAAGAAGCGAATAGTCTCCTCGCCACGTGCCTTTTCTTTCTCCCGTGCAGATATCAATTCGTGGAGCTCCCTTTGCGCCTGAACCGTACAAATAGCAAACTTATAGTTCAACAAATTCACTGATATCGCGTTGCGAGTTTCCTTTTAGTATATGACAATTGTGGGAACAAATCCGCTTGACTTTGTGATTATAATAATAATAAAATTGTAATGACATTAATTCATTAAAATCGATCAAAATTTACTTCAAGTAGTAGTACAAAAGTTTCTTTGCTCAACCAACGATTCTAGAAGTCTGATATCTTTTAACCAATCCTTCTTTCACTTAAATCATGTTCTTAGTGTTCTTAAGAGCAGAGACTGAAAATGATTTATAAACATTGTAAATGTACTTTTTTTAATTTAACTTATATAAACAATCGTAAGTATTTAAATGCAGAGACAATAAAGAATGAAGAATTATTAATATTCTTGAACACATGACCGTTGAACGAAGCGCGTGCGTTCGCGTCTTCACCTCAGACCTCCTATTGAGCTCGTTAAGGCAAATTGTCAGAGTAACGCGAACCAATGCTCAGTAAACACAAGTTATTATGTCGCTTATTGAAATATGTTCTCGAAATTACAATGTTTATATTTACTTATGACATTCGAGCTTAATACTTTGTCTTGAATGCTGTTTCGCTGGTAATACGATATGATAATAACAATGATGTACGGTAGAGGACGAATGGTAATTGGAGACGATACGGGTGTATAAATTCAGACCAGTTGACTTTTTCGGACATTAAAATCATAATGAAACTAAATTTAAACACAAACCTTTTAAATGTTACTTTATGCAACACACACCAAAAGCTAAAGTTCATACATTTGTGTAAAAACCAAATGGGACACTTTTGATTGTTGTAATTTTTAACTTATGATATTATATATCCAATATCACTTACGATCTCTGGGTTCCCACGTAATCTGCCCATAGCTGCCATGGCTTCGTGGAAGCGTCCCTTCCTGGCGAGCCAGGTGGGACTCTCAGGGGACAGACAAAGCACGACGAAGGCCAGAGAAGGGAGCACGATGCAGAGGAAGGACACCGATCGCCAGGGTAGCGCCCCGCCCAGAGCATACACATAGAGTACTCCGAGTGAGTACGCCACGAATGGTGTGCCGATCAGCAAACCACGTAAACGAGGTTCTGATATTTCTCCTAAATACACCTGAAAGTAAGGAAAACATATTTCCAATAAAGAAGTAAAGTTATTGTAGAAGACAAGGGAATCCCACATGAATAACACACAATCTGTCGCCTCAAGTGTGCGATAATTGCTGTAATAATAGAAAAATTATCACTTATGATCTAAAGCAATTGAGTTGGACTTTACAATGAATTTCTTTAACAGTATTTTAAAACCAAAATTGCTTTGGAGCAGACGCAGCATGCGATAGCATAATAAAGTCTACGTGTTTGATACATACCTGTGAGGGAGCCGCCATGATGCCGACAGCAAAGCCGCACACGATCCTGCCGAGAAGCAGCAACGCGTGGTGCATGGCGGTGGCGATGAGGATCCAGCCCAGCACCAGAGGAAAGGTAGAGGCCTGTAGCGTGCGCCGCCGCCCTATCGCCTCCATAATGGGCCCAGATAACATCGACCCTAGTGGCGTCGCCGCAGAATGTATACTGGCTGCAACAATACAGAATTATTGATTCAAGTTACTTTTAGCTGTAGTTTTGCTAACGGTTTGGAATCAAGTTTTAATCTCTATATTCTGTGATTTGTTAAAATGCCTAATCATCATCATCATCAACCTGCTCTTATACGTACTACCAGCCATCTGAATCTACCCCCTTCCTACGCATACCCTCCTTCACACAATCCCTCCATACTTTTTTGTTTTCCTCTACCTTTGCCCTTAAAATTCAATCTCATTACATTTATATGAACGTAATGTGTTAAGACACCTAATCTTCTGTTTAATATTGTAAAAAAAACATAAAGATGAATTGAGAAATCCACCTTTTTATCGGTTGGATCTAAGACCCGATTTAACTATTAATGTTAATGTTTTGTAAGATAAATTTTAAATGGTATAAAAATGTTATTCGTAACAAAGTAATTATTAATTAGTCGTTACAACAACGTATCGTTGAAACCAGAATAGCGGAAAATGACGGAAAATTTCAATTATTTACGATTACGTATTGTGTAATGCGGATAAATATTAAGTAATGTAATTTTATTCTTATTACTTAAGTATTTTGTATTATAACTGGTCATTTTGAAGCGGGATTTGTGTATTGATGATAATGACTTCACATTAACACATACACATATTTATCAACAACTGAATTGTCCGGTCACGAAGTTTTAACACAAATATTACTAAGTATTAGTTGTAGTTTGTCTATTAATTATATTCACGCTTACAACATTATAAGTAAAGATACGTTTCCACGGTGTGAGCTGCTTTTAGAATTTAAGGAAAAACAATTCTATAGTAATTCTGTCTAAAAACGTACAGGGTAGAGGTACGAGGTAGGGAGCTTGCTTGTTGAAGTAGACTGGATATTATCTGAATTGTTTTATTTTCTTCACACTATTAATTATGCATTAAATAGGCCAAAACTACTAAACCGATTTGAAAAATTATACACTTTCTTTGGGTGACATAGGCTTTATTTATTACCAGATTCTTTTTAAATTTTAATGTGGACGAAGTTGCGGACAACTGCTAGTAATATAAGTGAATATAAATAGAAATAAAAATGTCATCAGTCTGGAACAAACTTTAAGTAACCACAAGACACAAATAATTTATCATAACACGTTATGTGTCTTTGTTATTTTGAAATCCCCGTTTGGTTTTGTACCGTAATGTGACATCTTTAAAAGGCTCTTAATTTAAATAAAATCGAAAACCTTTTGTTGTAACATACTTTGTGGTTAGAATTCATAGTCCATTGTTTGATTTCAATAATTATGTTTAAACTAGCTGTCGCCCGCGACTCTGTTCGCGCGGAATTAACAAAAAACATTATAAGTGTTCTTTCAGACGATGTTCTACATGTGTCCAAATTTTATTAAAATCGATTCAGCCGTTCCGGAAATACCTTCAAACAAACACCCATCCATCTATCCAAACATTCGCATTTATAATATTAGTAAGAAGTAAGATGTAGAAAGTTACTATATAAACATCGCAATATTGTTTTTAAATATTTTTTTGCATATAATAAGATAACGATAGTTGCAGTCGTTTTGATCCAAGCTAATACTATAGGAGGATATTAATTTAAACTTTATATTTTACGGTTGTAAGTACGTAATCTAAGTAAATATGTCAATATATTATGTATAGTGATATTATCAAGTACATATTTACTTAGATTAAACTATTTACATGTTTTGTCTACACATAATATATTTGCAAACACATAATAACACTTTGTTCACGCTAAATTAATATACAGACATTTCATAATTAAGCCAAATTTAAACACATATAAAATAATTTAAGCTCGGGCTACAAATATTTATGTATTTATGAAACACTAGTAGTTGCTCGTGACTTTGTTCGCGAGGAAATATTACAGTAAAAGATTTTTTTTAATTATTTAAATAGTTTCAGAGCCTATTCAATACAAATATATATCAAATCTTTATAATATTAGTATAGTAACCAACTATAAAGATAAATTCAATGAGAAGCTTCACTCTATAAAGCTTGTGATTGTATTCTGCAGAGCTATTTGTTATTCATAATGTTCTTGTATAAACAGTGTTTGGTTTCAAACGACAATCTTAATCAGCGTTAATTATTTTAATGGTCCTGAAAGGACTTCATTCATGACATATTCGAGAAACATTTTCATAACAAGTGCCTTCATGTACAAACAAGGTTAATAATTAAATTCAATCGATATAGTTTACAAGATTAATTTTAAACTGATATATAAACACGGCTAAACACTCACGTATATACGTCCGGTGGCGGCACCGACTAGTTTCGAGCCCATCGGGGGCCCTTCATCAGGATGAGTGGTACTGGTATTATTTCGCGGACGCGGCCCGTCGCTCACTGCTCACGCCCACTCATCCTGATGAAAGGCCCCCGATGGGCTCGAAACTAGTCGGTGACGCCACCAGACGTATATACGTGAGTGTTTAGCCTTGTTTATTCAGTTTAGTATAATGTCTCACGAAAGTTTGAATAATTTAAGATAAATTTTATGCGTAAATTTGATTTTCATAAAGATTTTTTATAATGTTTTGATTTAAATCTATGTATATTGAAGTATAATCTAGAAATTAATTTTAATAGTTATCAACTATACATTTATCTTATTATTGCAGATTATATCGTTATTTTCCAATAAAGTTGCTAGTCAGCGTTATTTTACTAAATTGTAAATATGTCATTATTTCCCAAACAATAGAATTGCTTTATTTATGTTTCCATTTGTAAGGAATGAGTAATTTTCAGACACATAATAAAAAAAATTACACAATCGAATCGCAATTTATCGACATTATATTTCCCTTAGCGACTGTTTTAAATTTTATGAAATTATGATTCTTGCGAAAATGTTTTTGCATGTTATTCGTGTAGTAACTAACGGCCGGAGGCAATTATTTATTACTTAGCTTGATGCTGTGCAAAACAGGTTTTACTGTAAAGTTTTTACTTAGGCTCGATTTAATCTTATTCTACGAAATTATGTTCAGATTTATAAGCAATTCATTCTTGTTACTTACACACATTTACTTAAGCAGTGCTATCGTGTATATTTCTAATATAAAATCTAGACTAAGGGTCCTTTCTGACTAATAATTGGCAGGTTCCTTTCTTGTCGTTAATAAGAGTGTACTTACCGATCCACGAGCCCATTTCCTCGTCTATCCTCATGCTGGAGTTCTCATTCTGAAGCTGCGGCAGCGCCACCGCGGAAAAACCGATCGGATGACCAGCGCCGGCAGCCAGCACTAATACTGCGCATGTGATGAGGCACTGGAAAATATACGCTGGTTTTAAAAATAATTTCAAGAATCACATTCATTATCAAAGTTGTACACAAATCGTATCCGCTCTTGACTAATGCCATTTGAATAAAGCATTATCAAAATGTCTGTGTTGCCTGGGCGAATTGGAGAAGAGAGATGAAAGATTGAGCAGAGGTGGAAGAATCTAAAAGAGAAAGAAGATTTTTTGATTATATTACATTAAGCTACAGAAAATGTAGCTCTCAAGTAGTAGAGCCTCAGTTTATAAGATCGCTATGGAGCGAAAGTTGAATTTGAATTCATCACAATCAGCTTGCATTGGCAAAAGCAAAGAGTGCAGGGGTAATAAAGTTTCATGTTACTAAGCAGCTGGGCCATTGCCACTTGAATGTATATTTTGTATGAATTAGTGAAACGAAACCGATTCTAGGACAATTTAGACGCGTTAGTTACACAACTACTTTGAAAGAATCATGTAAGCTGGATGTTTTGTTTCCAATTCAATTCGCAAAGGTTGATTCAGTGCTACATTATGCATGCCATTGTTTCACGGTCCCCCGGCCAATGTAAATATCATTTTAAGAGATAACACCAGACCAGTTCTGATAATTTTTTGTTGATATTTTTATAAGGAACTGTTTTTAATTAAAAGTGACTTGCTTAATTGTTGTTCAAAGTTTAACTAAGACGTATTAACCATACGTTTAACAGAGTATTTTTTGTTGATAGTGAAACTATAATTATTAAAAAATGTTACGTATATATCAAAACCCGTGATTGGCAGGCTTACGTTGTTACATACCCTTAATATAATAAGAGGTAAAATAACAATAACAATTGAATTTAGGTCATAATGACTAGTATTATAAAGCCCATAGTTGTGTAAAACAGGATTGTTTTTTAAAAATCATTAAAAAAGTGGTTTAAAAAAAACTCAATCGAAGTACGAAAATAAAGTTTTAAAACGTGAACAAGGTTCAACGGTACCAAAGCAACAATAAATTTAATGTGGTTTCCATTTATTTCGATATCGGCCAAGAACCTCAAGAGGGTCAAGCTTGTTTTCATTAATTTGCCGACGCCGGCCAATGAAACCTTATTAATATAGCTAAAGAAGATATAACATAAACCAAGTGTTTGAACCCATAATTATTATGCCCTTCTGACTAAATGCAATAGTAAAACAGACCACGATGTGACTGCGGATGTCTGTGAGATAAATGAAATTGATAAAATTAATTCTTCCTTGAATGAACATACAATGACAGACTAAAATAAAATTTAATGTATTCGGGTCCTTGTTTTTTGATTAGAGATTTGTTTTAAGTTTTTATTTAAGACTAGCGGTCTGCCGTGACTCCATCCGCGCAGAATTAAAGAAAACATAATCAGTAGCCTTAGTGTTCTTTAAGACTATGTTCTATAGTATGCCAAATTCCATCAAGATCCGTTCAGCCGTTCTGGAGATACCTTCAAACGAACATCCATCCGTCCATCCATATCTATTGAATTGATTCGTAAAAGTGTGGATAAGTTTCGATTTAATAGTAGGAATATGAACTTAAAAACTTTTAAGTTTAAATATACAGCAATGCTTAATTTAATCTTTATTTACAAAACATGTCGATTGTAAAAGTAGACGTAGAGATAAAAATGTGTCACCTATGATTTATTACAAAGCGCATTGACGCGTGAAGATTGGCGTTTGCTGAATGTCATGATTAGTCTGATAAACTTAAGTGGAATGCTTCACGTGGTACGGTTAATATGATTAAAAAGAGCAATATGTATGATGTCCAGATAATCATGGATAATTTTGTCATATTGCTAATAGTTGTAAATATTCATTAGTGATCTTCAGGTAATATGATATAGTGACATTGACAATGGATAATATTGATGTACCCATCCATAGAGTTAGTGTTTTTTCTTTTTTTGTATGATTCAAGTGTAAATGCTTTAATATCTATGGCTTGTAATTAATTAAATAAACACTGTTATATGAAAGTACAATTTCCTGTTTTAATGAGGCTAAGAACATTCAAAAAGGACGAGGACGTTTTTGCATAAAACGATGTTATTGAATTAAATTACAGAGGATTTATGCTGAAAAAGCAATATAAGTAGAGTGCTCTCGATAAGGTCCACTTAATCACTGGCATATAAATATCTTGTACCTTGATATAGAAGAAAAAACAATTAACAACCTCAATTGAGTTCCGATCGTCAGATTCGCGGTTGTTTAAAAATGTCCATCATCATAACCAGTCACTAGGTTATCAATGATCACAAAGTAGACTAATATTATTTAACATTGTGAAATAATAAATAATTTTAAATCTGCCTACGTCATTTCTGACGATAATATCTCCAATTTTTAATGGTGATGACTTCAACAAATTCTTTTATACAATCTTGACTTATAATCGACAATATTCACTTTTTAGTCTTTTCTCTTCGTCGTTTGACGTTATTCAAGAGGACAGATTAAATAAAATAATGAGTTTTTCACAGAAGAGTTCGAAGGACGGAAAAAAGAGCGGTTTTTACATGTAAAGCAATATTATTCACTTAACCGTAGGTTTCCACTACTGAAAACAAAGTGAATGAGAGGAAAGACAAAATGCTTTTAGTTTAAAAACTTACAACGCGTGAATAAATTTATATGTTGAAAACGAAACAATATTATTTGTTTGATATGGAATCATTTGTCTCAATTCTAGAATAGTTGTTGTTCTATTAGAATTGATTGTATTGCGGCAGCGGAACGAACACTGAAATAAATTGTTGACGCTAAATAGAAGTCGCCTTGACTTACAGGATCAAGTTTCACGAGTAATTAATTATTAGAATGTTATGTAATGTGAACAACGAATGTAGGGTTGTTAAAAGAAAAAGAAAAGTCGAATTATCTGCCTTTGTCGGTCCACTATTACTAGTCATAGGCCTTACCCAATGCATTCGGTCGGCTAACGAAAAATTCGAAGAAGTAGTAAGATTGAGGAGGCTAATTCTAAGTACAGAAGTCTCATGGGTGAAGAGGGAGATAGCAACATTTACTCGTTGAAATATACCTGGTTGAAGACGCCTCGCATGGATGAGTATGTTTCCCCTTTGACGTAGGGCGGTAGTGTTGCGGTGGAACTAATACTGCGTAGAAAGCTCTGTAGTGCCTCATATTCTTCCTGACTGTGTGTTTGTTTGCTTTTGACTTGCGGCTTCCGACTCTCCGCCAGCATCGCTTCGTGAGCTCCATCGCTATACAAAAAATAAAATGTAAATTTAAAATGAAATCGACATTCAACAAAAAAAATTAACAAAAAATTATTTGAGTAAACATTTTTTTGAACCTTTAAATTTGAATTACCAAGTATAATTGTACTTAAAATATTAATTGTTTCTCACATCTGCTTAAACTTTAAAGACTGGTTGCAGATTAAGTTTCGAAAAGAAATATTGGTTGCACTGACCCTACCGGTTGTTTTATTATAATAAAAGTTCAATTTTTTTTTATGAAAACATACAAAGGCTACAACACACAACTTCAGGTAAGTTGTTAAAAATGAAAGATGTTTTTCTCATAAAATCCTGTAATGCATCAGAGTACGATAGTGGTACCTCGAGTTCAATGATAAGTCGTTACTACGGAATAAATTCGAGTTGCAGGGGCAATATACAGTTTACAGTGAATAACTGTATAATAAAAACTTGATCACTTGATTCAGCTAAAGAGCAATGCCCTCTCTAAAAGACCTTTGTTATGGAAAAATATACCAACCTTACTTGTAATTCGTAGTATAAACTTTACGATAAAGCATGTAAACTTGAGGGGTAAGCAGACATGTACGATTTTTTTTTATTAATAACAGCGGCGCATTAACGTTATGCTGGCCTCTAACAATATAATAGACAAGAGCCAACATTTTTCTATTCTACTTAACATATAACTTAATATGAGAGTGTCGGTGGCTCAGGGGTCAAGCACTTGACTTGCAATCTGCAGGTCCTGGTTTCGAATGCCGCCATGTACTAATATGTTTTTCGATTTCCTATTAACATATGTACATTTATCTGACGTTCTTACGGTGAAGGAAAACATTGTGATGCATCCTGCATATATCTGAGAAGAAATTCAAATATATGAGTGACTACGACCTTGTCACCCGTGACTTTGGGTAGGTTCTGAGCCCTTTAGTGGGGACGTATAGTGAGCTGATGATATATATAACATATAACGAAGGTAATCTCCTAATTATCGTTTAGTACAAACGTGTACAATTTAAAATTATTTCTACCTATGTTATTGTCATGTTTAAAAATCTTGTTTCATCTTCGAAAAAAGAGTGTTTTTTCGCGTCTTTTGCAAGTCACGTTTGTTAGTATTAGTAATTAATTAAATGTTTGCAAGGTTAAACTTAACATATGTACCTATTTGTAATATTGTGAAAAAAATATCATAGGTGTTACAACATAAGTACTTTTTATTCCGTTCCTTTGTAGTAATTTGAAGCCACGAAAATTAAAAAAAAAAGACATAAAGTAGAAGTCAAAGTGTAAGAGTCCAATATAGTGGGATAATTTACTTACAAAGTTTATGAAGGTTTTTTCCGACCAGGATGATGTCGAGTGTAACAGACGCTACAAAAAGTTGAATCTACAAGGTTATTAAAGGTCTTTTTAATCTTAAAGCTACAAGTACAAAAATAACAGTTCGATCTTTGTACTTATCTCACAATGTAATTTTAGTTGCATCATGCAAAGAGTAACTAACAAGAAAGTTGTTAATTCATTGTGATGTTGCCACATGCAATGGGAGTAATCAGTAACGCCTTCGCAAAAGATTTAAGCATGACTGTACAAGTTTGGTAAATTTAATATACACAAATGCTCACATTAGTAATGTCTGTAAACTGATACGCTAATTTAAATTATTAACTCTGTTACAGTTGAACAAACGTGACTATAGTATAGCTATTGAAATTATTTAAAGTTATAATAATAAATTAAGTATCGAATTAAACGTATTGATCATCATCATTCAAATCTAAAGAGAGATGTTGATATTAGTGTATATGATGAATAAAAGTACAAATATTAAATCTAAACGGATACTGTTGTTTTTATCAGTTCCCTGTGCGTCCTCAAAGCAATTTTTTCAACTATTTCGGTGTATTCTGCCATTGACCTTGAGTTTGACGAGCCAAATCTTTAAATAACTCTAATACATTTGGCAATGCTTGAGTATTTTTTCGAATGATGTTTTCTCGTGATCCCTTATTAAATTCGTAATTTGCGTAATAATAAGAAACTTTACTAAATGTGTTTTTATCACCTAAAGATAAGAAAAAATATCCCAAAAAACACGCCAACAGTCTGGGGTCAAAAATTTTGTAGTATACAATAGCAATATGAAAATGATGCGTCTAATTATTTATCAAATACTAGCTGTCCGCGACTTCGTCCGCTCAGAATAAAAAAAAACTTAATAATCAGACTATATGTTCCTTCAGACTATGTTCTACATCTATGTCAAATTTCATCGTGATCCGTTGAGCCGTTCTAGAGATACCTTCAAATAAACATCCAGCCATCCAAACATTCGCATTTATAATATTAGTAAGATTACATATGTCATGTAAAATGTTTTACGCGTCTAAATAAGTATAACTTAATTTTTTTTTTAATATTTAAGTGTTTTAATTTAATTGTTACGTGTTATAGTCTTGTATATAAAAGTTACTGAAAGTTTCAAGAGTACATTGACTGATGTTATTATTACTTCGCTATCAGTTGGGAGAGTTTATTTTCGCTGTGATAAGTAAGCTTGTTGAGAGATCTTGGGAAAGACGTTTTGCGAATATCGTATTATGTTTAATTTAATATACGTACACCAATAAAGACAAAGTTTCTTTTTGATAAAAGTACAACGTATATGGAAGCAAAAAAAAATCAATGAATAATTTAAAGTTTAAGGTTAACTTAAACCTTTCTGTTGTTCAAGGTTGAGTCCAATATCATTAAATTTGTGTTAATTCTTTTCACACTGTTGTTAAATCTTAGGTTTAAATATTGTGACCGTTTGTATTGAAATTTCTAAATCCTTTCCCTTTGTAAACAGCACATGCGAATATATGAACTATACATCTAATAAATTTTAAAACATTTTTTTAATGAACATATAGCAACTTATTTAAATAATTTAGTTATTTTTAAGATTAAAGTTGTTACAGTTAGTTCCTACTATTTTTGTTTTTTTATATTTGCCTCGAGGATCATATTTATCCCTAACATTACTTAAAAAAACCTTGTCGACAAAAAACTGGCACTCTATTTGTCTATCTTAAGTTAGAAAAAGGTTTTTAATTCCAGCGTAAGTTATGTATATCTAGGTGCTCTTTAGATTGGATAAAACTTTACAATTACAGACTAGGGGAAAAACTTTACCAAGGTTGATATATGTAATGCTTAAGTTAACTTAAATTGCTTAAGGAACTTAAACTGTCTTGAATTGCTTAAGGAAAACGCGAAAAACATTAATTTAAGCATTAATTTAAGATTCACTACTCCATACTCGGTTTTTGAAGGAACAATAGCTATATGACTTATTTTTTTTAAACAAATTGATTCAAAAACGCACAGGAATCATCACTCGATTTATAAAGTAAATGCGGATTAATTTTAACCAAATGTATCCTTACCTTTGAATCTTCACGATTCTTAGTCTCCGTTTATAAGACAACGCGTATCCAAATATCAATAACACCATGTTTACAAAAGTTTATTAATTACTAAAAAACCAAACTCTACGTATTCCTTAGGGACACAAAGAGCGACTGGCGAGAAATGTGCGACTATCACAGTAACCCTTAACCCAATGCGTCGGTGAATCTGTTTGTTTACTTATAGTATAACAATGTAAAGTGTGGACTTGCCCTATATAAGTTATCGATTGACTCTGATTATTGAATTAATTGAAATATTAATAATATTTAAAATAATATTTTAGAAGGACTATTGTTATACATTAAATTATTAACATTGTCAACACTAAACTAATAAGCTTAGAATATTGGCAAGGCACACGTTTACATAGTAAATTTTTCTCATTATAGTTTTTATGAGTTTTTGCTTCATATTCAAGTAACTCATTAGTTAGTAATAGTTTTTTTTTAGTTATTACATTTTGTTTACATTCTGTTCGTCATGGCTTAAGTTATGACAATGAATTATACTATTAATATCTAAGAGATTCAAAATATAATAGTACTCGTATACTTTTTCTCAGACAGTTTAATCACTTTAACATTAGGTTATCTGTTGTCAAATGGTCAAATAACATAAATGGTCATTTCAAGGATTATGGAATCTGAAATACGTTATTTGGATAGATTATAACAGGTTACAAAGATATCGATAATATTTTCAATATGTGGCTTGATACATACATGTTATGTAAAATACATAATTAAAATAAATATGTAAACTAGCGGTCGCTCAATACTCCGTCTGCGAGGTATTAAAAAAAGATAGTAAGCGATTCTCAGGCATACTGAATATGCATATAAAATGTTATAAAAATAGGTCAAGCCGTTTCGGAGGAGTCTGATAACATTGTGACACGAGAATTTTATATGTAAGATGTAATAAAAACTAAATGCTAATCGGCACCAATCGGCGTTTAAAACTACTCTCTTTTAGTGCAATACAATATTGATTTTCAAAATATTGTCTCCTATGACCTGTAATTTAAAGAATACCAATAAATTCTATTGTACTGTACTGTAAGAGTCCCAAGTCCCGATTTACACTAGTTGTTTTATTAGATTCTGGAATCTATGAATAGATAGTGCTATACTTTATATATTTCCTGCTTCAGTTTACTTTATTTCTGGAAAGTAAATTTTAAAAATAGTTTTGAGTAAATTCTTTGTTCATTTTAACAATAAATTGTTTATTCATTGATTTACTACGTGCTTTATTGTACTTATAAATGAACAAACATTTTGCAAATTATATAAAAAAAACGCTGACAGTGACAAAACTCTACACGTAAGTTAATAAGCGACTAACTACTATAAATAGATAAACCATTGTGTTGTTTTTCAAACATGATTTTCGTACAATCAAAACGTTTTGATGTCATCAGATACAGGACTTGCTATTAGGGCTTCCTAACTTCCAATAAATATAGGCATGGCAGTAGGCAAATAACAATGACTCGACAACCCTTGATTCCTAGGTGGACAAACGTGAAAAAA